CAAGTGTGTGTGCATGTTTTAATTCATAAAAGTGGACAAAGGGTGCCATGAGGAGAGGGAAAGGCGCGTGATGGGGAGGGGGGTGGTGGCGTGAGTCCATTAGTTTGCAGATGAACAGAGTTCATAGCTACGTTTATTTTTATTTTTATTTTTAACCCCCAAAGGACTGAGGTGCAGAACTGGAGAGAGCTGTTTTTCAAGGAATTTGAATGTTACACCGAGAACAGCCCAAGGCCATAGGCAAACACAAAGTTTGAGCGAGCCCATATTTCAAGTTGGCAAAACCCTGTGTTCTGCTGTCCCCTTTTCACTGTCTGTTTGGACTGGTGTTTCACACTTCACCTGGGCTGCAGTCTGGACACTTTTCCCACTCGTGGGTCACAAGGATTCTCTTTCATTTTGTAGTACTAAAGGAATATGTAGCTTAAATAATTTCAGAAACAAGATTATCCTTACTGTTAAAAAAACGAGGCCCAGTGTCTTAAGAAAAAGAGTTAATATTTGCCTTTTTGAGGGTTTTGAAATTGAACATTTGAACCTGGCAGCACTGGATTCTCAATACAGTTTTAAATGGCTTTTTAATACTTATGAAAAATTTTCCAATGACTCTAAGAGATATTTCTCAATATCTTTTTTTCTCTGTCTGCAATTATTCACAAATATGCATATTCCCATATTTGTGCATACATATATACCTGTGGGGTAGATTAGTTTGCAGGGTAATTGGTCTAAGATTTGGTAAGATCTTACCCAATTTATAGTTTCTTTTTTCTCAAAATATATCTAAAATGCTCCATTGCCATTTCAGATATACCAGTATGTTGTCTAAAAATAACTATTGTGCTTCTAGGAACATATTAAAGGGATGCTGATTTTGCAAAAGTTGCAGTAATTGATTAAACAAATTTATCTTACATCAAACAAGTGCTGTGACTTATAAACCTCACTATGTAAAATAAAGAAGATTCTTAAGAACTTGGCTTATTCATTCAATATTTGTCTTAGTGTCATACTTTTTGAGGGAAAATACAGCTTCTCCTCTCAAAATGCCACTACATTTACAATTCCTGAATTTAACCTAAGAATATATACAGCAGCTTTATATTAGTGTTTATTATTTTTTTAAAAACATTTGTATAAACAAACGAGAGAGAATAATCCTTAAAGAGATTACCGGTAATGGTGTAAACTGTTCCCTTATAGACTTCTGAAATGGCAAAAAAGCCTCCTTCTAATTCAAAGGGAGCAGAAAGTGAAACCAAATAGTCTGATTTTCAGTATCTCAATAAGATGAAAAGAATAAATCAAGAGGAAGCCTCAAGATTTTTTTTATAATTTATCAGAGATTATTTTCAGTAGAATTAAAAAAAATAAATAAATATCATGTTAGTACTGCTTTGAAAGAAAAAAAAAAATTCATCGCTTTAAAAGAAAAGCACTTCTCCAAGTAGCCAGGGAAAAATGTAACATTTTAAATGTCCTCATCCAATGTATTTAACCATTACACAATCACACCAAGCTTTTATTCACTAATTATATTTTTCATGGTAATTTTTTCTTTAAAAAAAGGACAAATAATTCTTATAGAGAACATGGAAATGAGTTTTAATTTAGAATGACCTGGAGTGTGTAATATACCTAAGAAGAGAAATGGTATTTTATTATACAATACTTTATTTCAGTTTATAAGAAAGCAAAAAACAAAAAAACTCTTTTCTGACAAGCTTGTTACATGTCTTATGAATCAGTTCTCCCGAGCAATTTGCTTTCACCTTAAATAATACTGAGCAATTTGCTTTCACCTTAAATAATACTGTATGACAAAATGAAATTTTTAAATATTGCCAAAATTCCAAATAATATTCCAAAATAATAATTAACAAATCTTTACCTATATAACTATCACAACAGGGTTGTTCTTATCTAACCGCAAGCTAAGGGATCAGTATAATGATTCCTCTACCCAATGTACAAGTTTTGCAAGTTTGTATTCTCATATCAAGTTTCTCGTTCACAATTGCACACTTTGGTTTCAATTTTCCTCATTTTGAACAGAATTGTCAGCCACTGCTAAGAGAAAACTTATCTGAGCCTTTAAAATGATCTTGTCTTTTGAGAATCTGAGCCAGCCACAATTCTGGTTATTGCTAATACCTCTTCAATTTAATTTAAAGAGTTTTTTTTTTTTTTTTTAAACTCTAGTAAATAATTCTGAAGTGGAAAACATTAGCCACTCTTCGTATTTCAGAAAAAAGTCTAATATGTTTACCTTGATTGAATTCTTCTAGGAGGTAGATGTATACAACCTAAAAGAGGATGGCACTTAATTTACAATCCTCAAACCATTTCTTTGTGAGTCTAGATACTAGTTGGAAAGTTTATGTCTTAATGTGGCTGCAAGCCAGGTCTGATAGGCAATGCAGTCTGCCAAAGGAGCTAACCCTAATACAGATCATCCTCTGCCCTGCCTTTCTCTAAGTACTCTACTTTCAGTGTGTTT